TTCAATGAAAACTTTGTCTGGCTGTGGACGCATCTCCTCCTAAACGAGTTGACCGATCAAGACCAAACTTGACATGCTAACTTAGTCTAAAAGCAAAGCGAATTCATATTAAACTTTCCCGTATATTAAAAAATAAACAGAATAACCCCTATATCGCTACTGCAGTAGGTATTGTAAATAGTTGAGTTTGAACAAAACTAGCACCACAACAAAATTCTATAAGTCAAAGATTGTAAATCACATTTTCAGCATTTTGGCTTATTTCCCATAATAACCAAATTATACTGTAATAACAAATCCAGCTAAAATGCGAAGAATAAAGATATTGCTGCTGTTTAAGTTTCCCACTCTTTTCTCATTCATACCACTTAACTTCCGATTTATGCTATTGTCAAAATAAGCGCTATAGTTTGGTTTGTTATGAATTACGCGCGAAGCAACACGAGGGCCATCTGTGCTAGCCGTCCTAATTTAGCAGTGAAAGACGAGAGGGAAGGCAGCTAGTTATCACCACCTACCACCAACTCCTGGACTACCTTTTTAGTGGGATTGACCGTCACAATATAACGCCCTCACGGCTGAAAGGGTGAGCATGTTTTGCTTTAGCCTGCATTGAAAAGTATTTAATAATTAACATATTTTTAAAATATTTCTTACTTCTTGATGTAGAATACAGTTTTCCGTAGAAGCAAAATTTAAGCTTATTATTAAAGTTAATGCATTAGATGTACCGAATTCAGACAGTAGAAATCTTGACCACATCTCTACTGTGAAATGGGCTGCTTTGAACGAGAAGTGACGCAACTGGTTTACCATTTCTGCAAAGTTTCTAGACTCGACTACTACCTCCTAACTTCAGATCTACTTCCACAGTCTTACAAAAATTTACTTGAAGAAATGAACGCTACTGAAAATCCTCGCAGAAGTTTTACTCATTTGTAGCAAATGTGTATGCGTCTTTCGCGTTCTCAAGAGAAAAAAGGGGCGGAGGAGTGCACTATACTTAAAATAACCACTTTTAAGGTAAGACATTTAAAGTGCATTATGGACTGAGAATTTACTTGTAGACTTTCACCGGATTTGTCGAGCTATCATCAAGGGCAGACAGAGCTGGGTATGCAATTTGCTGCTCAAACAATTAGTCAAATTGCACGTCTACTTAATTCACGTTGCAATTTCGCGATAAAGTATTATATTTATTTTAAAAATATTAGTAGTAATAATACAATGTGAATGTTAAGGTAGCCTATTTAGTATCAATTTCTTTACTGAAGAACTCCACTTTACATAGAGCTATTACGCACACGCGAACTTGTGTTGCTGTTGTTGTTTTTTCACACTGTTTAATAGCTGCTCCTTTTGCCATTGTTCTCCTCCGCTAGTGTTTGCAATGTCAGCTGCTAGATTACGTTCTTCATCCTGAATCTACAGGTAACTGTCTAGAAAATTGTTGACCCTCCACAAGGGCCTTTTTTTAATATGTTGAAGGTGTAGTGATACTAATTTTCGCAGAATCTCCTAGATGGTATTTCGAAAAGTATCATGTTTTGTTTTCTCTCACAAGAGAACAACTTTAGTTCAAAATTTTTGAAATTCTTCACACACACACCCATATATATATATATACAGATTCAGCGTACTATTATGTTCGACATGTAGTTAAACTGACTACATTAAGTCTTCACCTTGTTTTCGCACTTGGGTATTTCTGAACTCTTCCGCGACTTGCAAAACATTTGCGGTAGTTTTCATGTGCTTGCTTTAATTTTCCTTATTCTATCATATTCAAGCACGGCATTTAAGCTTTGCTTTCTTGAAGGTATTATATGTAAGATCAACAATACTGGTCTATTTCAAAAACATTTACGCGGTCAGACAAGGAAACTCGCGTAAAGTAACTTTATATAATAAAACTAGACGTACGTAACTTTATTTAATAAACTACACGAAAAATAAACAATAAATTATGGTAATGGTATTTATAATAGTGTACAGAGTACGAAACAGTTATGAGCATTCAGTGTATGACACGGTTTTATGAGTTGAAACAAAAAACTCACAAAAACAAAGAATAAAACACTTACTAAAGAAACAAATAACTGAAGGTGTTTATAGCAGTCTATGAAACGAACTGAAGCTTAATTGTTGCAAAGTGAAGTAAATGTAAAGTTATAATGAAGGCAAACCTAGTTGAGTATGCAGAAACGTCTGAATGCCTGTTCACAAAGCGATAAGCATATGGTTTTGAACCAACTGTACATGCGTATTTTAGACTTAAATATGTCGAGAAGGACCATACCAATTTTATTAAGTGTAATATTTATATTTTAGAAAATTACTCGCGGCTTAAGTGTTGTTTGTGTGAAATACCTTGCAAGTAAAAAACTAAAATTGTCACGTGATGACAACGACATTGTGCCATCGTGTAGTACACTCGTTGCATTAAAAAAGTTAACTAAGCAAAAAACAGGTAAGGTGATTCTGAATGGAAAAGCCAATATGCAATTCAGACTTCTCAGAACAAAGGCCTTTCTAACGATTTGAGATTTGTAGCGTTTGAACGAGAAATTGTGTGTTTATTAAGCACAAAGCTATACAATGGACAATCTGTGCTCTGTCCACTGCAAGTATTAAAACCCAATTTTTAGCGTTATACACTCTTATGGAGGTTTAGGAACAAATACTTTCCGACAAAGATGACATTGCTGTGATATCTATATAGTGGTTAGCTCTCTTGGTTCAGTCAGAATGCCTTTTCTGTTGAAACATAATGCCGTTTCTACGTTTTGTGTCCTAGTCCTACAAGTAAATGCTCCACTACTTAAGTATAACCATCTAGGTTGATTTTACATGTCAATCAGGTTAGAAATTCAGACTAACTCTGTAATAAATTTCCTGACGTATCTCCCGTTATTGCGGTGTTGATTTTACCTGTAGGAAACCAGTGTACCTGAGAATATCACATCTCCATAATTTGTTTCCAGTTTCGACTCAAATCACGTGTAACAACCACAGTTCCAGTTAAAGATAAGCTCAGTTACCTTCATGGTCACGTGCATGGTTTTAGTTGTTCGTTTTCCTCTATATTTTGACCTCTCTCATTTAAGTTCTAATATATGCTGCTACATTGTTGGACGAGATGAAAGCCAAAGTTCCGGTAGCTGAAAAAGGTCGTCATTAAGTGCTGTTCTTCAATTGTGACATGGGTGATCGCCGCAGTGTCTTCACAGTGTTGCCTCAGCTTGAAAATATAGGGAACACCCCCCCTCCAGATAGCGTTGGCTTTTAACCTTAGAGCTTTGTGATTGGATGCAACAAAAACAGCACTTGTATCCAGTTGCAGTGATGCTCTAAAGGTCTACCCAGTCTTATAAATCTTTTGTGAGCATTTCTCGCACTTTGTCGAGTGCTTCTTCATTCGAGTGGCATTACTGTTACAAGCTTACAGTGGTTATAAAAGTGCACTTGTCGAACACTTTGAAACTGTCTGGCTTCTTCTGGAGACAACGCTAGGCCCCACTCGATCTTGGTCATTACTGTGTTTTTTCAGACAGTAATGAAATACAACAGTCCAAGATAATGAAAAGAAAATTAACTTGGGATAAGTAACTGATTTTTGAAATGTTCTCAAGGACAAATATAAACTTCTGTGTTGAAAGATATATCTGTTGTTTTTTTCTGGATAATTCTCAATCTATTAACCTACTTTTTTTTTCTCGAAATACTCTAACCAATTCTTATAAAAGGATGCGCCATCTATTTTTTTTATTTCTATGAACATGTCACCTTTTAGAGTAATCTACTATATAAAGATGAAAAGACGTCTGTTTGTCCGTATGTCACGCCGATCGGCCGTTGCGGTACCGATAAAAACTACTCTAGACATATAATTAGATTTGAGGGTAGGTTGATAGAGATCGTGATGAGTAATAAAATCGAATCAGGTATACACGTGTCCCGCGCTTGGTATTGCTGGTGCACAAAAGTCATAATCATTGGCTGAAATCCCCCATTACGTGTGCTTGGTTGTAAAAGAGACACACTGACACAACATCACCAAATTTTGTCCAATCGGAACTCTCGGCTATAACTCTATAATAACCCGCAGCACATGTCGATTTTGAAAATGCCCAAATTAAAGCGCGTTTCTTAAGCTCAGCAGGCTAACAAACCAAAAAGACAGTCCAAAGAGAAGACCCCGAAATCCACAATTAAACTCACTGCCTTTACCATCACAATTAATAATTTGCAGAGTCATACAGTTGACCAAGTAGGAATACGTCTTTGAAAATCAGTTTTTCGCATGTTTTAATCGATAGGGATTTATCAAGAAGAACATTTCAACATAACTTATAAATATACAGAAGTCAAAATGCTAATCAAGCAATACTTAAAGAAGATGACCAAATTACATTAAAAATGTTGTTTTCGTGAAATACTAGAAATAGGATAGTTATTCTCCATACATATATGGTTACTAGATTATAAATATTTTTTAGAAAACATGTTCGTAAAACATTTATTCAGATAAAATTTTGAGAAGAAAAATTAATCATTATTTCCAGTCATATGACGGACATTCAGCTTGTCAATCATAATTCACAATTAAAACACTCCTTTCCTTATATATGAAGATTCTGAAAAATGTGAGAAACATGTGGGCTAATATAGAAGTTGTCTTAGTGCAAACTAACTGCAAATTTTCCATCCAATTAATATCCTATACAAGTCAAATATATTGTTGGTATGAACGTGTTTTGTAGTCACTATGAGAAAAACCTATACACCGAACTTAGACTTAGAAATCAAACAATTTTAGGAATACTAAGTTTATTTATTATTATACTATATAAGCAATTCAAGTAAAACATTCACTGATCAGTAGCCCTCACCTTGTTGGCCGACACTGGGAATCCAAGTGTGTCAGTAGCTGGTCAACTTCCAATATACCTCTACTACACCAGCAGTTACTTGCTTGAATAATGGCGTAGACAAATCTGGAGAAAAATGAAAAGAACCTCGTTAATATTCATTATATAATACATGTATTATTTATTATGAAGTGACTTTTATCCGCCTCTTAGCAACATTCATGATAATGCCAAACTGTCAGATTTACTTGTTTGACTGCACTGCGAATGTTATTTTCCAAACAAGTTAGATAAAATATTTTAACACTATTTAATACAATAGACACATTAACCTCAAGCCTTTAACACTATTTAATACAAGAGACACATTAACCTCAAGCCTTACCACTCCTCTTATTTCCAAGAACCAGAATAATAAAGAAATTCCAAGAAAAGGCCACTCAACCACACACTACACCATGTATACGTAAGATTAAAGAATCTAACACCACTTTAAAAGTCATTCACATCACATAATGTGATATTTTCACATCTTTTCTGGTTATTTTCATCTAGTGGGTAACAAAGGATCGGAGCCATGCTGCTGAGAAACACAAAATACAACTTTTGAAAAATATCGTGGAGAAAATTAGTTTAAAGTATTGTACTGAAATTTGGCATAACAACCACTGCAGCTAATGTAGGAAACAATAGTTCTGGCGTAGCTCGACTAAATATCAATATGAATCTACCTATATAAAGAACATTTGGTAATGAAATAAACTTAGTGCGTGTTCTCATACGTCAGTTTTTGTTTTTAAGGCACATTTTAATATACTGCTTAAATATTAAATATTACGTCTAATTGATGCAGAAATGCGCGGTTAAATTCACTGAATGAAACAGTCCGAGTTTCGAAATATGTAACTAAGATCCAACACTCCTGAACGAATTCGAGATAAAAAAAATAAACTTTCACGTTCGATGAGAAAAAGTCCCCTCAATTACATTAGGTATTTATAATCGCTATTAGAAAGTTATACATAGAGCTACTGATGTAATTGTTTATGTTATAGACATGCAAAACTAAACTATAAAGAAACGAACTTTAAAACATTGCAGACAAGTCCAAGAATAACGCACTCGATAGAAAAAGTGTGTCAGAAAACGTCAGCCGTCATCATTTTTCGCCTTTGTTCCACAATGATTATGGTAGTGACAGCTGTGTGTGGAAAATGGAAGTGGCAATAATGGCCATCACTCACGTGTATTTTTTTGTTTGATGCTCAAATAGAATAAAATTTATCATCGAATACTAGATAGATTTCAGATACAGCCTTTCATAGAGTATCTTCACTGCTTCCAAATAAAGATTACAAAAACAAGCTGCAGTGAAAGAACGGTATACTATTATAGACGAGTTTCACTAAGTTCAAAACCTCGAAAAAATGTATATTGCAAAATATACAAGTAACACAAAATATAGAAAATTATAATCAGCAGACACTTGTCACAGCTTTTCTCATCAGACACGTGTTGTGTTTGTAAGTCCGCGAGTTTACCCAGAGGAAAAAGAAAAAGTGGTCCATTACACCCACTCCAAGACGAGCTTGAGCACCGCTGGAGGGAGCAGGGGGGGGGGGGGTTGCTGGGTGTAAAAACCTGACCACAGCTTTAGAAAGATTTAAGTACACGCAAGCAAAGCGTCAGTGACGCTACTAGAGAAGCAAGGTTTCGTCTTGTCAATAATTCAAGAAAACTAAGTGTTTTCCGCTGTTGTTTATAATCAAGAATAATTCGTCTCTGCTTTCCGTATCATTGTTGGATTTTATTTTTCAAGATGGGGCGAAATATTTTAAAAAATTGTACAACTATTACAAAGAGAGCTCCGAAATGGTATACTTATATGGATAGCTCTGTAGTGATCAATAATAAGATGTACAATTTCTAGTCAAACGTTCCTAAAATGGTTGTAACAGCTATTCATCTTCCGGTTTACTAATTAAAAACTGTATTTAAACTGTCTATAAGACGATACCTTTTACTCTTAAAACAATGCCTGATTTTACCACTCGTCTTATATACAGGTTCAAAGATAAGAGTTCCAGTAAGAACTCTCTCTCTCTGATTAACAGCATATTTAACCAATGACATCGTGCCACCTACTGGGTTACAATAACATATTTGTAATTGTATCACGTGCATCGATTCTTCATAACTAGAAGTTATTTATCTCACATACTAATTACAATTAATCTAGGCATTTTTCATTTGAAATGTATTGATCTCATCCGTCATACTAAATTATTGCTAATATTATATCAAAAAAATAATTTATTTAACGTACACTACTAACGTAAATATGATTTATAGTAGATCACTGCATCTTAAGGTTTAGTATTTTTTGTAACAGAAAAGGAGTTCACTGTGATGAAAACTGTGTCAAGTTGTTTAGCACACGTCTGTGACTTAAGTTATGCCGCATTGGGCTGTCTGTAGTGTTTGTGGTTGTATTGATCACCTCAGAACGCAGGTTAGCACAGTTTAAAAACGATTTATAAGAATTTCTTTACAAAAGTAACATTCTAGACTTGCTTGACAACAGAAGTCGTCCTATACATCGAACGTCAAAAAAAAAAAAAATACGCTAAATTTGCTAATAAAAATCCAGAATCGTCTTATACACCGGCAAATACGGTAATAACAGAAGTTCTAATTACTGTACACTTTGCAACATTAAGAATTAAGCTGAATTATTGGGAAATACACCAGAAAATATCATTAATAGCAATAGTACTAATGATTCGATATATTCTAATCACACATATATTTTGAGTACGTGGATTATATAATTATGACGCTAAGCTCCACTAGTCTATCGATATAAAATAGGCTTCATTATTAATTTATAAGTCACTATTGAATTCTGACCCATCTAGTTAAGTTACTTTTGGTCAGACGTTCTTAAAAACCCTAACTGCTCAAGTATGAATCCCGTTCACTTTAAAATACGAAATTTGTAATTAGATGTTTTTATAGTACTGCTTTGGAATCAACAATACACCTTCTAAAGTTGCCACTAAAGAAGAAAATTGTGTTAGCCCGTTAACTGTAAGAGCAGAAAATATCGAAAAAGGAAGAATATATATATATAATTAAATGAAATAAGTCCCTCTGTGGGTCAGCTGCAAGTTCACAGACTTTCAATGCTAAAATCCAGGATTATATTCCGCGAGATGGACAGAGTGCAGAAAGGAAATTGTTTGGCTTTGCGCTAAAACAAACAAACAAAGTAACGAAGAATATATGTACACTATTGTACGAGTTAACATTCTAAGTAGCTGAAACCCTATACATTTATATATTTGAAACTATTCTCATTAGATTGCTTAAAACGTACGACGATAAGTTATAAGGCTTGACCACCTTCCAGTTTTTAAAAATTCAGCCAGTAGAAGACTTAGAGCTGCATTGGAATGTGCTTACTTACTTGTTATTGTTGTTTTTAGCGCAAGACTGCACATTGAGCTATCTTCGTTCTGTCCACCGCGGGAAGTCGAACCCCGAATTTTAAAATTGTAAGTACTTAAATTTATCGCTGACCCACCAAAGTGGACCCCTGTGCCTGCTTATTAGTACTAGCAAGACTGGACTTGTCCAAGGACTGTGTAAGGGCTTTCACTGAAAAGTAAAGCGACGTTTAAAGTCACAAAGAATAAACTGAATAAAACAAAAAAACAACAAAAATAACGGACTTTGCCCA